AAGGGTCAGGGCTCACAACCTATTCATTTGCAACCGGGAACATTTGCTAACATACACATAGCCAAGGGCAGCAGTAACAGCAATGTTAGCAGACCAGCTTGTATGAAATTCTCTCACTGAAAAAGTTAATGCTCAATGATGCATACACAGATATATATGGATCATTAAGTATACATGCATAGAAGCATATATATTTATATACACACACGTGGTTGTGTCTACATAAATATATATTTATCAGCACAGACAAACTTAATGATCCCCATCTATAAATGGGTGTCTGCACACACACACACACACACACATATAATAAGTCTACTAAAATGGTAGCAAAGCTGTGCAGGGCTGTGAAGCAAAAAGGTTATTTCTTTTTATGTACATTTGGAGAGATGCTTAGCACAGGAGATGAAGTGGCAGTGATAATAATTATAAGTTGGAGCTGGAACAACATAAAGCCCTTCTCTGGACCCAAAAAAACCACTTTGTCCCTGATTTGAATGGTACAGACTAGCAACTCTCTCAAGCAAATACTGCTTGTGTTTGGATACATCACAATCAACTAGAAGAGGAACACAATCTGGTTCCTCTTCCCTAGCGGACAACCTCAAGCAAGTAACATGCTGCACCTATGGCTTGTCAACACAGTGATTCTGTGATTCTATGAAATGTTAGATCTGACCAATTAGAATGTGAAAGCATTAAAAGATATACCACTCACCAGTGAGGGCTACAGGACACAAGTTAGAAAACTGCAGATTTCAAAAAGACTAGCACTTGCTAGGCACTCATTGGATCACCTAAGAACGTGCCTAACCCATTGCCCTTACGCATTTGACTTATTTTCCTGAAGGACCCTTTGTTTTCTACAGCTGCTTGCCTCAAACTTGTGTCAAACACTGAAATGTGCTTTGGTAACCATCTCTTGAAGTGCTGTGACACTAAGGGAGCTGAACTGACCACTTTGTCAGATAAGATGTATGTCAAAACAACACCGCAAAGAGCCGCAGAGGTGAATGATCAGCCAGGAATGGAGGAAGGGAGAGCAGATTCATCTTGGTTAGGCAGTAGCTCCAAGTTAGCACACGCAGTCTGGTGATACTTCCCTGTGTGTCACAAAACTACATTCTTAGTGGAGCCCACTCAGCTATGCTTGTAAGGAAGTAATTAATTCTTATACCATTATAGCCATATAAAATTAAAAAAAAAATAGAATAATTTAGGTTGGAACAGAGCTCCGCCAGAGATCTTGTCTAATTGCCCATTAAAAGCAACTCCCAATTCAAAGAATAAGATATTCAGAATCATATCATGCAGCTACAAGCAAAGCTACAGATTTTACCATATTGGTAAGTTCTTTAGGACTGTCTAAGGACATACATACACAGCACAGAAGATTCAAAAAAGTCTAGGATGCTCGTACAATAAGGACAGATACTGGAACTGCTCACATAACAGCCATGAAGTTGTATGAATTTCTGTGCTAAAACTGTTGCTGCTTCCTACAGCCCAGAGAGCCTCTCACAGAATGTGCCACAAAATGAAGGTTGGGAATAGTAGTATTTCTACTGATATACTGATTTTAATAAGATAGTATTATTATAATATTGTTAATAATGCAAAATGTTAATAATAGTTGGAGTATAACGACTATTTAATACACATTCTCCTCAGAATATTATTTTCTGGAAGTAGTTGAACACCGACAATTCTGATGCAAATCAATGGAAGAAATTTTCCCTAACAGGAATCAGCTGAGACCACTAGATGAAATATTTTGCATTTTCCAGGATGAAAGACAATTTTTTAAAGCCACTAACCTACCCAGTTTGGTGGTACATGAGCACAGTCTTGGTCTTTTCTGCCTCAGTCTTTGTTCTACTCTAGGAGCTCCCAATGATCCCATTACTAGGTGAGGGATGCTAATCCCAAACTGCTATGCTTCACTCATCATCTTCTTGAAACCACTGGGATTTCTACCCCCTAACACAAATTCCATATACCTCCAACCACCATGTGTTATCTTGGTTCAGAAAATGGCCAGTAGCAATAGAAAGGCATTGATTTCTTCTTAGTGAAAGCTCACACAAGCTCAGCATGATCCTACACTGCCCTTATAGATAAGTTCAATAAATTCTCATTTTGAGAAATATCTAAGCAATCTGCATAGAAATGGTTTGCATATAGGCTTTATAAACAGGTTCTTTCATCCTCAGTTCCTTTAATGCTGTGGATAGGAATTTCTCTGAACATTTATGGCAAGTATCATATGACATTTCTTCATATGGCTTTTACAGACTATTAGGAATAGTTTTTAAAATTGCTGATGATGACAGTAATAATAAAAACAATAACAGCAGCAATAATACCCTGCAATAATTTCAAAAGAAAAAGTCAGTTTTCAACAAAGCTAATACACAAAATTCAGCAAGTTAATTCACTTCCTACATTCTCCATCAGAAGACTACAAAGATACAAGTAACAATAACCTTAGATTTAAAATGCATCTTTCATCTCAAAAGAAAACTGCATTGATTTATAAAGTAAATGGGCTAAATCCACAGCTAGTTGAAACAGATTAGCTTCATTGATTTCAAGGAAGGTGATGATTTATTTGAGCTCAGATCTCTCTCTGCACAAGTGGGTGTGTCTGCGTGTGTGTGGTCGGAAAGTGATATACATTGTGCACTGCATGAAGAATTTCACAGAAAAACACCATATTAACCAACACAAAGTGACAGATTATTGCTGTATTTGGAGAAAAATGCATAGAGTGAACAGAATGCAGGCTCTAATTTTTAGCTGGGGATTGGCATGTATTTCCCCAACAGGATGCTCACAGCAGTCCTGTGAAAAGGCTCCCAGGTACATCACATGCTGTTGCGATTTTCTCTTTGCAAAAATATGGGTAATATTTGCAGACAGCAAAGCAGCAGATGCACAGGTATATTCTACTACACAAACAAATACTCCACTTTTATGAAGAAAAAGCCAAAGTCAAGGCATGGTTTTGGACTAAAGGAAAAACTAGCAACTCTACTGGAATCGGTATCACCTCTACTCCAATAAAATCTCAACAGCTGTCTGTGACATAGACTTGGAGCCTGCCTTGTTCTGCTCCAGAACTGTTTGGGAAATAAATTTGAGAATGTCTCTACTATGCTTTATAGGCATAAAGGATAACCATAATTACATAGCCTAGCCTTCCTAGGACACTTTAGCACAGGAAATACAGATGGGCTATACAAGAGTTGGCTACACCTTTCTGATCCTCCCAAGACTACACCACCAACACACTTCTATAATGGCATAGATGCCAAAGACACCAGCTCAAATGACCCTTTGCCAGAAGAGGGTTTCCCCCCAGTCCCTTTCTTGCAGCTAAGGTGAGCTCAACTTCAAAGACAGACTGCTCCTCACTACAGTCACTTCTGTTTGTGTAAGGCTGACATAGATCTGGTTTTTGAAAGGCATACAAACACAAATCACCCAGCCCAGCAGAAATGCCAAAGATAGACAACTATTATCTGATCCAAGCTTCCTCAGAAACTGATGACAAGCAAACTCAGCAGTCTACTCTCAGTCTGTCACTACCTGTGACACCAGAAATGAGATCTACCTACACATTTCTGTCACGTAAGTAGGCAGATGGACTGAAGCCTAGAAGAAAACATACTGGGCCTGAATCTCTTTTCTCTTGCAAGTAGTGAAAATCTGAAGGAACTTCAGGTGCAGGTGCAGAAATCAGGAAAAGCAAAACCAACTACAAGGTGAAATTTATAGCATATCTCCCGCTCCTGAGTGGGAGTGCTGCAACAGTGTTTGATGTGATTAACCAAAGGTACTCCATGTCCTTGCAGATATACTTCGCAAGTGTCCCTCAGTCCAAGGCATCTTAGCCACCTTGCTTTCTGATCCTTTTCAGAAAGCTGTTCAAGTCAGCTCAAAGAAAATACAGGTAAGAAGGCACCTCTGCAAGCAACGAAGGCAGTGCATCTAGTGCTTTCTTTGTTCAAAATCCCAGAGTGGAGTGCTCTGATCTGCTTTGTGCAAAAGGTTGGATGACTCTTTCAAGGTGCTTTTGAACTTAAAGTTTCTTCTCTCATGGTTGTTAAATTCAGATCCTGGCCTGTTCTTGGGCCAACATTACTCCTTCTCTTAGGAGAAGGAAAGTCCAAACACCTTCAGTGCCAGCCCAGGCTCTTCTTTCCATGGTATGGGAGAATCATAGCATACTACACCCCCAACCAAGAATGTCATTCTGAGCTCAGGTCTGCATATGCACACTGAGAACACCTTTAGCTTGAGCTGAAACCAGATTTACAGCCCACAATGCAGACAGCAAGCAATGAGGTTTGGGTATATTCATACTCAGCGGCAATCTCAAAAGACAGTCAAGCTGCACAACTGAAGCAAGCACAGAACTGACATTAGGTGCAACCATATAGATCTCTGGCCACTGAAGAGCACAGCAGCCCCTGGGCCGTAAGATCCAAGGAACACAATCTCAGCAGTATTTATGAGAAGGGACCTCTGGATGTCAGTAGTCCAAGCTCTTACTTAAAGACAGGCTGTCAACAACTATAGATCTGGGCAGATGTGGCTTCACCTAGCCAAGGCTTGAAAACTTCTAGGGATGGTGATGCCACAACTTCTCTGTAACCTGACCAGGGCTACACCACTCCTCAGAGAAGCAGATTTACTCACTGTCCTACTTGAACTCCCAAGCTAAACCTTGGTATTATCTCTGCTTATTATACTCCCTGCCACTACTGGGAAGAGTTTGGCTACGTCCTCTGTTTGCCACATCATGCACAGAGACTCCATTTGGGTCTGTGACCATCAGCAAAACCCACAAAACAGCACCATGCCTTCATGCAACACTACATATGTAGCTACACAATGCTGCACTGCACACTATGAGGTTCACCATGCACTTGGGAATCTCCATGCACCCCTTTTTGTCATTACATTTTTAAAAAGTTAAGAGCTGCTATACTTACGTCATTATCTGGGTCTCTATGCCAGGGTCTACAAGGGCTCCATCCACAAAAAGTGGTGCTGATGTGAAACTGTATTTACTCCAGGATCTTCCCTCATCAAAACTCACCCTGGGATAGAAGCAGACAAGATTTATACACATAAAGAGACTTACTCTAGAGCAACTGCAGCAATTAAATGTTGGCTAAGGTCTGCAAGCTTCAGCAGCAAGATTTATAGACAAGCACCAATCTTCGCCATTTTCCCGCCCACTAATTCATGCTTTTGGTGTTCCTTAAAAGATCAAAGCCTTAGAAAGAACAAACACTAGCAATAGGAACATGGAAATACTTGATCCACCTGTACATCAGACCTCAAGGCATCAAGGGGCACTGCCAAGTCCTGTTTCTGGATCTACAATAGCACCTCGCACGAGGCATCACCCAGAGCATAAGCATCCCTGGCCTGATTCCATGAGAACTGCTGTCAATATCATGGGACATTTCGATACATGTGTGTATCAATGCCATATGACATTAGCTACAGCCTCTCTAGCCCTATTAATACTTCTCTGCACGCCATCTCAGGTGGTTTCCATTTTACAGAGAGGTGGAGGAAGAAGGCCAAACTGAGTCACAGTCAGTGGTTGGTCTAGGTGGTCTTTGCCTATTACAGCTGTTGTAAAGCAAAATTGTATGCTGGTTAAAAGTAAAATATTTTCCTTCTTAGAGGCTGAAAGTGTTCACACTGTCAGTGACAAGCCTGGGTAATTCAGTGGCTTTTGATCATCTGTCTCTACCCACAACCACCATGCGCCTTACTTTCTGTTCTTATCAAAGAGCACGTGTATCCTAACCCAGCTGACAGGGTCTTGGTTGAATCAGAGTTAGCACAACAGACTTCCAGATTTGCAGAGGAGGGTTAGCAAATCCTGCTCTCAGCTACACCCTAGCAACCTCTATATCTCTGACAACTGCAAGGGAGTGAGTGAGTGAACAGTCTAACTGACCACACTAGCAAACAGAGCGGGTCAGGACTTTGATGCTGTAGTGCCTCTTTCCAGCCTCGCTCATCATCTCCCCCAACCCCACCCATGGCCCAGTAGCCCAGTTGACACCATACAAGTGTCAGACTCCAGCTCTGCCACAGCTCTGCCCAGCCATGGGTCTGACACACAGGCTGATGTCCTAGCCTGGCTTTAGCCCGTCCCTGTCACCAAGGAGCTGCCCGATGCCCAGCACTGCAGCTGTCTCTGCCTGCTCTGTTCCTAACTGGAGCAGTGGGATGAGTTCTGGTTGCGAGATCCTGCCCTGCTGACCCAGGGACCTTGGTTGGCTCTTGGCTTCCCAGCCATCAGAGAGCTACCAGCCCTCACATCACCCTGGTAGCCTGTGCCCACAAGAGTGCAGAAAACAGCCAGAGGAGGGTGTGCACAGCCAGCTTCCAGCATAGCCAGGAAAGACAGACATCCTGCAGGCTGTCAGCATCCAACACCCAGAGCTGCTGCCCATGAACAGTTCTGAAAGCAACCAAGTTTCTCGCTGCCCCCAGACTCTGCACAACTGCCTCCGCACAGTATCTACTCAGAATTTCTGATTCAAATTATACCAGCAAAGGAGGAACAAACAGAGAAGCATAAATGTTTACATGCTATAAAATTATCTGATTCTTTCCCAGCAGGGTCATTACAGAGTTTTCTGTAATTCTGTAAGGTACCTGGGCTGTGAAGGCTAACAGATTACTCTCAATGGACGTTACCAGAGACAACCATGACACAAGCTTCTTTGAATTGCAGGAAACACTTCTCACTTTAAAGTGAGAGGAAAAAAGAAGTTTGCCTTATTTTCCAGGCGAGGAAAGTTTGGGGCGGATGCATGTGTGTATGCACACATGTTTCTGAACACCTGGATTCATCTGAGAGGGTCTCACAGGAAAATGAATCCTCCCCAATCCAAGTAGGTAGCATCAGAGACACTGAGACAGGCTAAGAAGGTCAGTGTAATATGGATTACAAACAATGGATTACACCATCCTCAGATTTCTAGTGTGGAAAGCTAAGGCTTGCAGTCACCATTCCCTAAGTATCTGCCTCTCACAGCACCCAGCAAAACACCTTCACCTGACTCACAATGCACATCTGCCAGAATAGGAAGCTGACTATAGACCAAAGACAGAAAGCTGGGAGTACAACAGCATACAAAAAGCTTATCTGCCTTAAATCTATTTATTTAAATGTATGTATCATCCCACACACCTGTGCATTTGTATGCTGTTCTGCTTGCATGCTTATCTATCTAAATAGCATTTCAATTTCTGGGGAACAGCATGCTTCATTAGCTTAGCTAAAGTTCTCTCGGCTTTTCAATTATCCACCCCTCTTTTCTCCAGGATGAAACTTATTGTACAATGTCTCAGCCTGAGAACTAATAGATATACATGTACCCTTTAATCTATTCCATTCCTGCCCATAAAACAGGTGCCTACTGAGGCAGTATGAAGCAAATTCCACAGCCTCTAAGGGCACAATTTTGGAGGAAATCTGTTGGAGCTTATTGATAACAGCTCTAAATCACTACTCACTTAATAGAGCGGGTAGGGCACTCATAGTATCACACGTGTCATTTCATGAGACTTAGTGGAAAGGAAAAACATCTGAAAGGAACCTCTGCAGTGCACACAAAGGTGAACTGGGCTCTCAGCTTCAATGGAAAGTCAACCTGTGACCAAATCTTTCCCAATATCTAAGTACAGGCACTTGTATGTAATGTGCCTTTTATGTCCAAAGAGCCTTGGTTAATACATGACTTAGAGCTTTTTCAATAAGTGGCTCACCTTTCACTCTTTCAGAGCCAGAGCCTGATGTACCTAATGCTGGCGACATCTGCCCTTGGCTAACACACACTTTTCCTGCTTCACCTTATACTTGATTTGGTCTTATGACTTCCATGTGGTCTTGATGTCCCCTTTCCTGAGGGCACCTCAGGAATAGTCATGCTACTGAGTTACCTATCAGAAGCAAATGTTTCTAGTCACACAACACGACATTCTAACCACAGACAGAAAGCTGGAGTCTGCTGAAAGCATCATTATGGGTCTGCCCTGCTCCTACTCTCCTTTATATGTCCAGTTTTGGAGGCTGTTGGCAAGAGAATGCTGGCCTATTCTAACCTGTGGCCCTGACTCAGTACAGCTACATTTATTAAGTTATGATTGCAACAAGCTTGCTAATGGTAAAACAAACAACCTGTTTCCCGAACACTAGAAAGCAAGACAGAGATCGCAATCCTTATTTTGCATATAATGAATTGTTTGTAATACCACGCAGAGACACAAACCTCTTAGAGAACACTTGGTTCCTCTAGCCTAGAAAAATTGCAAAGCCTTAGGAATAAGAGCCAATACATCCTGCGGTTAACAATCCACGATCACACTAAAACTAAAGCAGTCATTTCTTTAGCTCATGTGGTAAAGAAATGTGCTCAAATGCAACATACTCAAACTTTAATAGAAATCTATGTTGCAGTCATGCCAGAGTTATCTGTCAGGTCAGCAATATAAAGTTCAGAATCTTTTAATACTGAAAAAGTAGCCATTAATGTTCTTAAGGTACATCTCCAGAACATTAGCTTGTGATGAGTAAAGAGCCTGTCTTAAGGTCTCCAGTCTCTGAATGACTGTAATTTAACTGAAGAATTTTGTACAATAATGATTCAGGTAGAGGAGACCTTAACACCTCATCACTGCTGCCAAACACCATTGTTTTCTTTTTCTGACTGAAGGCCACATTTCCTCTTCTGCAAGAAGAGCATGATATAGACATGTGGTTAGCACCATCAAGCTGGGAGACTATTTAATCTTGCAGACAGGAACACAAATCTTGTCTCTGAAGGCTACCTTTAACTAATTCACTTCTAAACAACATTAGAATCAGGGTAGGTCTATTAGCCATGCTCCTCTTTCACTCAAGACCAGAGACTGAAGTTGATGCTAATACGCACATTTTCTGTAAACAAGGTTAGTTCTGAATTTCAGAATGCCTCTCTCCAACGTTTAGCTGATGCAGAAGTGAGAGGAGCAAGGGCTAAGAGGATAATTTTGCAAGGTTACTTTAGTACTTAGACTGTTGCCATTTTTAGCTTAAGAGTATCTTCAACTGAGAAATCATTTTGCCCTATTCCACTTCCAACTGTATTCAGTTGCTGCCACTGTATCTCTGGAAATTGATAGTGGAATGCTACAGGAGACAGCAATGTTAGCAAGGTATCTTTTTTGTCACTATCAACACCTACTGCCCTCTCTTCTCCCTCCCTTTATCTGTCTTACCAGTTTAATAATAAATTCTGTGAATAAAAAGCAGAAGTGAGGGATACATCCTCTCAGAAATACCTGAAGCACCAAGGATGACTTCCTACTCAGTATATAGTGTCTGTAAGGGAAAAAAACTCCACCTGAAGATTCTTAGTACATCACTAGTGCAAAGAGTAGTACATATATGCATGTGATCATGTATATAGCCATTATATTTACACAATAGTACAATAATCAATATATTATTCAACAAAACCAAAATGACAGTAAAATGTAGATAAGAATTATCTGATTTACTCATTTTGTAGACACTAGCAGATGTTGACCAGGTTAGGCAAGAGTAGCACAACTGTCAGCTTATCCCCATCAGGAAGCTTTCTCAAAGTAACGAGTTTCCTTACCACATGTGCCGGATGGGGACTGATGTGTGTTTCATGGCCACTAGTGCCCCTCCCCAGTCCAGAAACCACACATTGTATTCCTCCTCGAAGATCTGCAAACAAATCAGACACTGCATGAGTGCTCCGCTCCACTGAGAAGACTCAGAAGAAGAACAGCAAAAGGTTCCATGCTTCTCTTTGCTCTGCAAAGCATACCTGTCTCCAGGAATTTCCACCATCAGAAGAGATGAACACACCGACATCAGTGTAGGAAAGCTCAGAGCCAATATTGCCTGCAACACAAGCAAGCATCAGACATTTGCATGCAGATCGACATGTAACTGCATTTTTCCAAGAAACCAAAATTACTTGGGCTGGCCAGTGCTTTTTTGCTGCTCTTGATTCTATTCTCATCTAAAAACACCACCATGATCAGGTAGCAACATTCATTTATAAGAGCTGTGCCATTTGAAAACTGACAGAGAAACAGTACTATCAGCTTATTTTCCCAACAGATAGCACTGCCCATAATTGCAAGCCACTAAAAGCAGGCTTATTCTAGGCAAGGCCCTACGTACTCTAAAATCTGTGTATGAAACCCCATGCCCATTTGATACATGCAAATCATCAGAATGGCAGCAGAATAGCGGCCACTGTCTTGGGCTACCAGATATTTTATTCCATATACATTGTTCTCTGAACTTGTAGCCTTTGTGCTCTGGCTGATGAGTTGCATCTCCATGATCTGCCAGTCTTTGTCAGGGGTAAGGTAATTACCTCTGTCTATTCTTCTTGTGTAAAGGAGAGCATACAAAGGGAAATTACTCATACGGCTGAGTTTAATGTGAAACCTAGGCCCCACTGAAGCTCATTATTATGGGGCTAGAAAGTCTACTCAAGATTCTGTCAAAATGCTCAAACACATATCTGATCTCAGAACCTGCAGTCAAATAAACGAAGTTTCTTCCTAGGTTTATGAATGGTTTGCAATTAATGAGGACTGTGATGTCATGAAATATATGTTCCACTTGAAGAAAATCTTGTTTGTGTAAGTATGAACCTCACCAGGGGGCAGAAATGGTTTGGAGAATTAAGGTGGGTCAAATGACTTCACAGCAGAAAGGTAGAGACCAGATTGAACAGCATTCTAGACAATTTGCACTGTTCTCTTTGACCTAGCACTCCCAAATTGCAAGTTTAAATTTACTGGTTGCTTGGGTACAGTTCTTACTGTAATCTTGTAATTTCCATTATGATGGAAACTGTTCTGCTGACAGTCTTATAGGGAGAATACTCTGCCTTCACCATGCATTAGGGAATGGATATGACACACATCAAAGCAATGCAAAGAAAAGATCAAACATCAAAGCAAACACCACCACCATTTGGAGGCACTACCTCAGAGCTTGAAACATGATTTTTTCAAAGGTTCTTCATCTGAGAGAGAACCTCAAATCTTACCATGATAAACCTTAATAGAGAGTAAATAATGAACTAAATCCCCAGCTCTCTGGAACCTCTGAGCATCCACCAATAGTTGCAAGAAAGACATGTTCAATATCTGAAAAACTTGCACCTGCCCTGAACAGACCTCGTTAGCTTATTCCCCACACAGCCCTGTGGTTAGCATCTTGCTTCTGCTTCCAGAGTTAAAACTGCACAAGCACCAGGCTCACTGAACAATGCAAGTCTGCTCTAAATTAATTCGTTCTCACCTCCCCACTTCCCAAAGCATCCAGTGGGTACAGGGAAAAGCTACCACAGTCACCCAGGAACTTTTTTTTCCGCTATTCTGTCAACAATACCTTTAATCAATGCTAGGTGGGATTCTGGTGGTATGAAAATCTGTCCCACAGGAAGCAGGCAGATGCAGCACTGACCGATACTCCATCAGAAGGCCTCACAATGATAATGGCCCACAGCCACAATATTGTGGTCAAACTCACTACTTCTTTATTCAAAGCCCATGAATTCTCTACTCAGTGAACCACTCGTATGCCTTCCAAATGAGACTGTTTTTAAAGCAGGGGTAATTTCCATGGAAGAAAGGGAGAACTAATATTTTTTCTTCAAAAACAGCAAAGGGAGAGGTGGCACTCTTGCACATCTGTAGCATCAACAAAAGCATAATAAAAACATACTAATGAAAATGTTAATTAATGTTAATTAAATTTCTGGCATTTAATGCTGGAAAACGAGAAACTAAAACCCAGGTGTGGATTGATGCTTTCCTGTCACCATCATGGAATCCAATCAGCCACATTGCTGTGACAATGCTGTTTCAAAAAATAAAATTTCTGGCTCAGGGAGGCAGGGAAATTCAAGAAAGTCTTTTCCATCAGTGCTCAGGATGTAAGAAATGTCACATTATCCATCTACTTAATCTAAGCCCAGTGTCCTGTCATAAGTGGAAGTCCTCAAAACTTAGAAATTCACTTAAAGGCAGAAGAGTAAGCTTTGTATCATCATATTTTTAATATCAGAACTGAAGTATCAACTTTTCAAACAGAGATTTCCAGACTCTGGCAAGGAAAGAGAGGAAAAGGGTGAGATCCTGTTGCTGTCACTTCTTTCTGTCTGTTTTTCTGTGCAAACCTGTTCCATTATTTTCTTCATTCTTCCCATCTAGTTTCTTTCAGCTACATGGATTCAAATCCCACCAAACGTAACTAACTCCCAGAAAAGTCAGGAAGATCTGGCAGCTGTACAATTAGGTACTAACACATAATTCTTCCCTTTGCAAGAATCTAACCTTTGTCCTCACATAAAGAATTCGTGTTTCAAATCATTGCTGGAAATGTACCACTGAAAATCAAAGAGTGTCACACAGCATCTGAGCAGCTAGTGCCTGTGAGAATAAGTTGCAATGCTTATCCTGGAACACATTCACCAACATGGTGAGACGTTCCTGTTGTTGCGAAACCAGTTAGTGGAAACAGATGTATATATTCCCAACAGGTTAAGCTTTTTATTGTACAAAGCAGTAAGGCAGAAATTACATTCTGCCTTTTAAAGGTTAATTGTTAGACTGGGAAAGCATATATCCCATGCACCGGCAGCTTGAAAAGAACCTCATTTACTAACAATTAAGATCAATGCCTAGAATCTCACTGTCCTGCTGCCTCTATTTGCTTCCTAAAAGGTTAAAGAACAAAAGCCTCTGTAATCAAAGCATCATGAGTAGGGCTTGCTGGTAAGCATCCACCTAACAAGTGTGACTTGTTTGGAGTGACGACTCCATTTGGCTATGCATAGGAATATCACACCCCAGTGTGATATATTTTTTCTAGATATATATTTCCAGATCAGTGAACTGGATATCAGATGGCGTTTCCCTTATTGAGATATATATGTCATGAAGGGAACCTGTCTCCCAGGTTCTGGCTTAGTCTGGCAGACATATGAAAGCACAGAAGGACATGAGAATAGAAATGGTTGGAAGAAACACCGTAAATTCACATAGGCAATATGCTAACGTGACACACTTGCAAGCCACTGCTAGGCTGAACAGGACAAAGGAGGTAAACTGAGCCTCAGAAAGAATGGTTTAGCCATTTGGACATATTTGAGTATACATAGGACCCTCCCTGTGAAAAGGCCGGACAGCCTACATGCTTCAGAGGCCAGCTTTCAATAGCACCAGCCATTCAGAAATCACTTTGTTAGCCCAGCAGCTCCCACAGAGCTGTGGGAGTTCTGAGTGCGGTCAGTAGCCCCATCCATCCTGATCAGGCTGCACGCTGTGTGCACACAGGGCCTGTGATGGTTGTCAGATTAATTAGTGGGCCATCCATTGCCACTGTGAAGCATTGTAGCAGGTCGCCATTAAAACATCATGACCTGCCAAAGCACTATTTTTGCAGAACCACCCACAATTACAACAACCCATGCAGTACTGAAGTGCTGCTAGCCCTGGAGCAATACAGTGTTGAAAGTAGGTGCCATGCACAAGACAGACACTCATGAAGTCCAGGCTTCACTCAACAGGATTTGTGGCAACTCTGTGCTTGCTACTCAAAAGGTGGAAGGTACTGAGACCTCCTAGGAGCATAGTCATGATTATAGGTCCTATTCTCATTCATGGTAACTTCAGCAAATGGGTCAAGTGAGAGGAGTTGGTAATGCCAGTTGGTAATGATCCCTTGCAGGTGGGGGGTAAGACCTGCATAGGGGTTATTGTAGAGCAACAAATACCTCACAGGCATTACCTTTTTTGAAGTCAGGGGCTACATGCCTTCTCCTAGCCCATAGCAAATGGGAGTTAGTGTGAATGAGCTCAGCACTTGCTGAAACAGCTGAATGCTTTAACACTAACAGAAAATATCTTGTATACTCTCAGGCTATCAGTGAGGCATGGGTGAGTTGTGAGAAGCAATTATGTTCTTACCTGTCGCCACCAGCAGCCCAGGAGCTGTCTTTTTGCTGGAAATGCTTCCTGAAGTATACGGATTCTCTGAGAATTGCAGATGTAAGTGCAACGAGCAAAAGGGCTGTTGATAGGAAACAAACAAAAGGCACAAGTTAGATATCAGCAGAACAGATGACACTAAGTTGGGAGGGAATGTTG